TGGGGTTGTGGGTGGGTGTGGGGGGGGGGGGGGGGAGGGGAAGGGGAGGGAGGGAGGGGGGGGGGGGGGGGGGGTTCCAGTGCATCATGGCTCAGTTATGGAAGTCAGTTGATATGCTTTAAAATAAAATTATTGCTATTACTATCATTGTCATTCCCCACCATGCATGTGCATGTGTGTGTGCGTGACAGGGCGAGAGTGCACCATGGTGCTGTAAGTCAGACAACACACCTCAGAAGTGAGTTCTCTTTGACTGGAATCCAGGGATTAAACTCAGTTAGCCCGCTCTATGTGACAAGCACCTTCACCTGATAAACCATCTTTTTGTTTGTTTGTTTTTTGTTTTTTGTTTTTTCTGAGGTAGGGTTTCCCTGTGGCTTTGGAGGCTGTCCTGGAACTAGCTCTTATAGACCAGGCTGGTCTCAAACTCACAGAGAGCCGCCTGCCTCTGCCTCCCAAGTGCTGGGACTAAAGGCGTGCGCCACCAACGCCCAGCCTGATAAGCCGTCTTACCAATACTGCTTTGAAAAATAAAAATTTAAGAAGTAAAATTGTTGGGGGTTCTGCTTTGCTTTTGCTTTGTTTGTTTGAGACAGGGACACTATGTAGATCAGGCTGGTCTCGAACTCACAGAGATTGCCTGCCTCTGCCTCCCCATGCTGGGATTGCATATGCCCAGCCTAGGTTGCTGGGGCTTTTGTTTGTTCTTTGTTTTTTGACACAGGGTCTTGCTGTGTAGCCCGGGCTGGCCTCAAACTGGCTGCAAGGTACCCCTCCTCCCCTTCCCAGGAGCTAGATCACAGGTGTCTGCCACCACATCTGGCTTTTGTGTATGTCAGCAATTCTAACCCATGGGTCCCGAGCCCTTTGAGGGTTGAAGAACCCTTCACAAGGGTCACCTAAGATCATCAGAAAACACAGTTGTTTACATTATGATTCACAACAGTAGCAGAATTACAGTTATGAAGTAGCAATGAAATGATTTTAATGGGTGGGCGTCACCACAACATGAGGAACTGTATCAAAGAGCTAAAGCATTAGGAAGGCTGAGAACCACTGGTGTGTATGGTACTAAGGATTGAAACCAAGGCCTCAAGGTTGCTAAAAAAGCTTTCTACCATTGAGCTGTGTCCCCAGCCTGCTCACATTTTTATGGTGCACAACACTTTAGTCTCTTTATTTTGTTTGTATCTCATTTTTTGGTTTGAATTGTGTATTTTGCATGAATGTATGTCTGTGCCAGGAGAGAACACCAGAGCTTTTGGAATGGGAGCTCCAGACTGTGTGAGCTATGACATAAGTGCTGGGAACCAAATCCAAGTCTTCTGCAAGAGCAGAAAGTGCTCTTAATGGCTAAACTGTCTCTCCAGCCTCCGTTTTGCTTTAGATTTATTTATTTATTTAATGTGTATGAGTGTTTTGCCTGCATGTATGTATGTACAACACATGTGTGCCTGGTGCCCTTGGAATTCAGAAGAGGGTGTCAGCTCTCCTGGGACTAGAGTTACAGATGGTTGTGAACCACCAAGTGGGTGCTCAGAACCAAATGTGGGTGATTTGGAAGAGTAACCAGTGCTCTTAACCACTGAGCCTCTTGTTCGACTAAGTTCAAACAAGGCATCAAGAAACCAAACAATGAAAGCCAGTCTTGGTGGGCACTCAGGAGGTAGATGCAGGAGGGTCAAGAGTTCAAAGTCCTCTCAGCTATGTGGTCTGGCCAGCCTAAAATAAAATACATAAGAGCCTATCTCAGCAAAGCAAAAGGAGTTGATTGAGACAATTGGGATTTTAAGGCTGCCCTGGGGTGACAGTGAGTTCAAGGCTAGCCCTGGATACAAGGTAGGTTTTTTTTTTTTTTTAAGTCCTTGTCTTAAAAAGCAAAATAGGAGCAGAGAGGGAAAGGAAAATGGTTGGTATGTAAAATAAATGAAAAAATTAATAAAAAAATTAGTAGGCTAAAGAGATGGCTCAGCAGTTTAGAGCACTGACTGCTTTTGTCAAGCACCTAGGCTTGACTCCCAGCACACACTCAGTGGCTCACAACCATCTGTAAATTCAATTCAGGTGATCCTACACTCTTCTTGTCTCCATGGGCACCAAACATGGACATGGTACACAGACATACATGCAAGCAAAACATCTATACACATGAAAAAAAGGAACAAAAACCCAAGGAAAAAAATATATATATAAACAGGGCTGAGAATGGGGCTGGAGAGAAGGCTCAGTGATTATGAGCACTGGTGATGCTTTTCCAGAGGACCTAGGTTCATTTTCCAACACCCACAGATGCTTGTATCTCTAGTCTCAGAGATACAAGCATACAATACTCATAAAATAAGGAAACAAATCCAGAACAAAACAGCATAGAGGGCCAAAGAGCACGGCTGGCCTTGGAGAAGGCCTGGATTTGTTTCCCAGCAACCACATGGTGATCACAACTGTCTGTGGCTTCAGTTCCAGGGGTTCCAATGCCCCTTTCTTGTCTCTGAGGGCACTGCACATGCATGGTGAACATACATACAGGAAAACACCCATACCATAAAAACCAAACAAGCTGGGTGGTTGTGGTTCACACCCTTACTCCCAGCACTCAGTAGGCAGAGGCCAGCCTGGTCTACAGAGTGAGTTCAAGGACAGCTAGAGATACATAGAGAGACCTTGTCTCAAATAACACATAAATAACTAAAATCAAAGGAGGAGTCAGTTGGTGAGGTAATTTAGTGAATGAGAATCACGGGCTGCCTAGCCTGATAACCTGAGTTCAAACCCAAGAGCCCATGTACAGATGGTAGAGGGAGAGGACCAACTCCTGCAAGGTGTTCTCTGACTTCCACATGCTCACTATGGCACACCTGTGCAGGGGCACACATACACACACTAAATAAATTTTCACAAAAATAAATAGGAAAATAAAGCAAGATGTGTGATTGGCACACACCGGTAATCTCAGCACATGGAAGCTGGAGGCTGTGGGAACAGAATGTTCAGGGTCACCCTTGGTTGTGTAGGAAAAGTCGGAGGTGAGTTCAAGCTATAAGAACAACAATCCAGAAAGCTGGGCATCGTGCCAAGCACTTACAATCCCAGAATTTAGGAGGCAGAGGCAGGAGAGTGGCCACAGATCCCAGGCCAGTTTAGGTTACAGCATAGGGCTTCCTAGTGAGACCCTGTCTCAACCAATAAAAAAGAACACTTGCCTAATGTACACAAGGCCTTGAATTTGATCCCCAGCACTGCAAAAATAAAGCAGAACTGGTTTTCACTTTTTTGCCAACTGGATTCTCACACACCCTAGAGTAGGCGTTAACCAAATGAGACAGTCGCCCACAGAGTGAAGAAGAGAGAAGACTCTTCTCTGGCATGCTGTATTTAAAAAAAATTAATAATTTTATTAATTCTTTGAGGCTTTTATACAGTGTATCCCCTCTCCCTCCCCCAACTCTTCCCAGGCTCTTCCTCCTTACTTTCCTTTGTGTTCTTTTTGTTGTTGTTTGGAAGACACCGTCTGGAAGCAGACATCTTAGTCCTCTGGCTCTTACCCTCTTCCCATCCCCTCATTTATGAGCCTGCTAAAGAGGGGTGGTGCAGATGCATCCAGGTCAATTCTCTGTGATTTGACTGGTTGTGGCTGTCTGTGATGGTGTCCATCTGGGGCATAAAAAGTTGTTTTGACCAGTGAGAGCTACACTTGGGTGAGGGTGGAGGGTGGGTGCTTAGAATATGGTACGGAAAGCGGCAGCCCTAGGCTCTCCAGCCAGCATCTGAAACCCATCAGGGTAGAGCTGGCACATACAGCGTGTGAGCTTGTTATGTGGACTAGCTGTTGCTACTATTTTTCTTAGATCTCCTCAGTAGGAGACTGGGAGCCAGAGCCTCCCGGAAGAGAAAGGAATGACAGGTTGGTGTCTTTATTTCTGTTGCTGTTGTCTTTCTACAGGCAGTGCTTCAGTCTGGGTACTTGCCTCACACTCATCCTCCACAAATGACCCTGTGCTTAACAAAAATCCTTCCTGCCCATCTACAAGTTCAAGTATGCCTCAAAATATGAAAGGCCATGACTCCACAGAAAAACCCAACAGTTCATCAGTGACCGAGACATCCACATCTAAGACCCAAGATCAGATGACATCATCCACTCTTCCAACATTACCCCAGAGCAGAAGCACAGCAGGACCCACTGAGAAAATGACCTCAAAAGTACACACACCTGTCGTGACAATCACTACCAGCATGTCACTGTCAGATTCTCTGGTGACTTCTACAGTAAAGGAATCGATAGGGACATCCAAAACTACAGTTTTATTCAGCTCGGCCACTTCAACTGAGACCACACGACTGAATCAAACTCCAACCTCAGAATCATCAGACAAAGTCGGTGACACAAACAAACCTCTCCCCGTGACAACTATGGCAGTTACAAGCACATCTTCACCCACCACAGCCATCCCAAGGGCCACTGTTCTTAGCACAGCCACAGCTGAGACTCAGGAAAAGGACACTACAGCTGAACCCCCAACTCTAGGAACAATCTCCACAACGAGCAAGCCACCAGACCCCCACCAGAGCACAGTCACACAGACACATTCCCAGCCAGCACAGGTGACTTCTGATGTTAGCATGACTCTAGGGACAACCCCATCAGCAACAAAGTTCAGATCATCAGTGTCCCCAAGCCTCAGGGACACTGATAGGACCAACAGACACATTCCCAGCCAGCACAGGTGACTTCTGATGTTAGCATGACTCTAGGAACAACCCCATCAGCAACAAAGTTCACCAACACTGGATTGGTATCATCAGTGTCCCCAAACCTCAGGGACACTGATAGGACCGTGATGACACCTTCAACGACATTGGTGTTAAGCACACCAGAGCATGCCAGCCCATCATCTCAAACTGGGACACCCACTGTCCCTGAGAAGTCAACTTCAACTCTACCCTCATCAACACTGGACAAAGTCGATGACACAAACAAACCTCTCCCCGTGACAACTATGGCAGTTACAAACACCTCTTCACCCACCACAGCCATCCCAAGGACCACTGTTCTTAGCACAGCCACAGCTGAGACTCAGGAAAAGGACACTACAGCTGAACCCCCAACTCTAGGAACAATCTCCACAACGAGCAAGCCACCAGACACCCACCAGAGCACAGTCACACAGACACATTCCCAGCCAGCACAGGTGACTTCTGATGTTAGCATGACTCTAGGAACAACCCCATCAGCAACAAAGTTCACCAACACTGGATTGGTATCATCAGTGTCCCCAAACCTCAGGGACACTGATAGGACCGTGATGACACCTTCAACGACATTGGTGTTAAGCACACCAGAGCATGCCAGCCCATCATCTCAAACTGGGACACCCACTGTCCCTGAGAAGTCAACTTCAACTCTACCCTCATCAACACTGGACAAAGTGGGTGACACAAAAAACCCCCTCCCCGTGACAACTATGGCAGTTACAAACACATCTTCACCCACCACAGCCATCCCAAGGACCACTGTTCTTAGCACAGCCACAGCTGAGACTCAGGAAAAGGACACTACAGCTGAACCCCCAACTCTAGGAACAATCTCCACAACGAGCAAGCCACCAGACACCCACCAGAGCACAGTCACACAGACACATTCCCAGCCAGCACAGGTGACTTCTGATGTTAGCATGACTCTAGGAACAACCCCATCAGCAACAAAGTTCACCAACACTGGATTGGTATCATCAGTGTCCCCAAACCTCAGGGACACTGATAGGACCGTGATGACACCTTCAACGACATTGGTGTTAAGCACACCAGAGCATGCCAGCCCATCATCTCAAACTGGGACACCCACTGTCCCTGAGAAGTCAACTTCAACTCTACCCTCATCAACACTGGACAAAGTCAGTGACACAAACAAACCTCTCCCCGTGACAACTATGGCAGTTACAAACACATCTTCACCCACCACAGCCATCCCAAGGACCACTGTTCTTAGCACAGCCACAGCTGAGACTCAGGAAAAGGACACTACAGCTGAACCCCCAACTCTAGGAACAATCTCCACAACGAGCAAGCCACCAGACACCCACCAGAGCACAGTCACACAGACACATTCCCAGCCAGCACAGACAGACTCAAGCTTAGGCACTGTTACAGCCCAATCACCCAAGCCTTCCACAGTCTTTATCTATAGCTCCTCAGACATAACCAAATCCTCCACCATAATTGGGACCAGTCCGGCATCCCCAAACTCTACCCAGAGTAGTGGTCCGGGAGGTGGTGCCTGTGCTTTGGATGAGTATCTAGACAGCACCGGAGTTTGTATGTGCAATGATAGCTACTACTCCCATTTGGGTAAGTCTGAATAATTCTTCCATGAAGTCTGTTGCTTCCTCTTCTTCTTCCTCTTCCTTCTTCTCTTTCTCCTTTATTTTAATTTTATTGCATGGATGTGCTTATGTTAAGATCATGGATAATGAGTGTGAAGAAACCAGATAAACAGCAGTGGCTTGGTGAGTCCAGTCAGGGAACTCTGCAAAGAAGTTGGTAAGACATGAGCATGAAATGAGTCCATTCAGAGGTGGCTGTGCAGGTGAGCTGATCTATCCTGCCCCAGCCCCGGCCCCCAAGACCTGAACTGCTGTCCAGGTTCTTATGGGGTATGGCAGGCATGTATGGCATGCCAGGCTTTTTGTATATACACACACAACAAACACACAACACACACACACACACACACACACACACACACACACACACACCCCAGGGGTCTGGTTTCCAGCTTGGAATAAGAGAAAAATTGGGGAATAAACAAATTAACCCCTCAGAATCCCAATCTTGGTAGACATGTTAGAGACACTAACTGCCTTCACCCAAGTCAGTCTGTTTCATTGAGGCCCAGGCCTGTTTTCCTTGCTTCCCTGAGGACTTCAAATTGAAGAGCGTGGCAGGAACTCGGAGCCACCTCCTTTTTTTTCTTACCTTTCCAGCTCTGCCTCTGGACTTCTTCTGTTCCTTTGTCCACTGGCTCAACTCTCAGGCTACCTGGCTCCATGATGGGAACCTCATCTCCCAAGCTTTATTGTTGAGTCGAGAGGTCTCTTAGTCCAGAACTGGCCTGATCACTGGAGATGAGCTGCAGCTCCTGCTCCTCCTGCTTCTGCCTCCTAAATTCTGGGATCACAGGCATCTGCCACCATGCCTTATTTATGTGGCACTGGAGATCAAATTACGGCAGGCAAGCTCTCTGCCAACAAAGCTACACTCCCAGCCCCCACAGTAGCTTTGAGGTCCAGACACTAATTCTTGGAAAAGAGATTCTAAGTACTGTGGGGTCCAGGAATCAGGATCCCATAATACAAGAGCTGGCCCTCGGGATCCACATATGTGAGAATTTCTCTCTCTCTCTCTCTCTCTCTCTCTCTCTCTCTCTCTCTCTCTCTCTCTGTGTGTGTGTGTGTGTGTGTGTGTTTTGAAACAGGGTTTTGTAGCCCTAGCTGTCTTGGAACTTGCTCTTTAGACCAGGCTGGCTTCAAACTCACTGCCTCTGTCTCCTGAATGCTGGGATAAAAGACATGCACTACTACACACCCAGATATGTTTACAATTTTTACAATTATTTTGTGTATGCATGTTGTGTGTGTGTGTGCGTGTGCGTGCGCGCGCGCACGCGCGCGCGCATGTGTGCATGCAGTGTGTGGGATACACACTCTGAGTGTACATGTAGAGGTCAGAGGACAACTTTGTGAAGTCAGTTCTTTCCTTCCACTTTTATGTGGGCTCCGGGAATTGAACTCAGGTCTCCATGGCAAGCCTTTACCTGCTGAGCCATTTTGCTGGCTGTTTAGGGGAGTCTTTATGAGTTGGACCAATGTCCCCTGTCTTCTTCACCCACCTGAGAAACTGTATTCCTTCTCATGGCATCATCCCAAGATCCTCAGGAGACCCCATCCCCCTGGCTCTTGTTCCCCTGCAGAACTGTCCAGGGAGATAGGGACCCTGCACTGCAGGAAATGGGATATTAAGGTGGCTCTGAGGACCTGTCTCCTGAAGACTCACCACTGGGTCCTGAAGAAAGATGCCTTCTCTAGTTGTTCCAGTATCAACACCACAGAGCAGGGTCGCCGGGTCCAGGTCTTTCAGTTGATGAAGAAGGAAGGGACTTGTGGACTACACATCTCTGTAAGTTGACCTGCAATTTAAGGGAAAGGGTAAAGCTGTGGGGGCGGAGCTAGAATGCCTGGGGGCGGGGCTGAGAAAGTTCTGGGGGTGGGGCTGGGACAGGAGAGGTTGGGAAACTCTTGACTTGGGTGGACTCAAATCTTAGCCATCAGAGCAGTCTTGTTGAAGAAAATGGCCAAGCTGTTTCCCGAATGAGAATGCCTTTACATGTGCTGTTTGCTGTGTTGGGGTATTGGTTCCCAAACTGTCAGCCATGAAGTGCTTTAAATAGTAACCACAAGCAGCTATTTATTGATTTCTGGTCAAATGCCATGTCTATCAATTCATTTTTAATGGCTCTAATCTCGAGAGGTTCTCATTGTAGATGAGTAACCCATGGCTCAGAGAAGTTGAGGGATTTTCCCAAATTGCAGTATGAGCCTCAGCCTCCCGAGTCCTGAGATTACATGCTTGCACCAGCACACAGAGACTAGTTTTATAAGCAAAAAACTCACATAAATAATAGAATACCCCAAACAACAGTGCCCCTAAAGCCCCAGATCCCTTGGTCAGAACTTCTCTCTCTCTCTCTCTCTCTCTCTCTCTCTCTCTCTCTCTTTCTCTCTCTCTCTCTCTTTCTCTCCCTTCCTTCCTTCTTTCTCAGTGCTAGGGAGTCTTAATGTATGCTAGGCAAACACTCTAAAACTGTGATATATCCCCAACCCTAGGACCTGGAATTCTTTTCTAAAATGTATTTATTTATTGAAAGACATAGTCTCACTATGTAGCCTTGGCTGTCCTGGAACTCACTGTGTAGAGCAGGCTGTCCTGGAACTTACAGAGATCCACTTACCTCTACCTTCCAGTTCTGGGATTAAAGGTATGTGCCACACATACCTTAGAGAACTTTTTTCTTTTTGAGACAGGGTCTATGTGGCACTGGAACTCCCTATGGCCTCCACCTCCCCAATGATGGGGTTTAAGACATACACCATTACACCCAACTCAGAATTCTCATTCTCACCCCCCCCAACACACCTGCCCAGACAGGGTTTCATTGTAGCCTTGCCTGTCCTGGAACTCCATCTGTAGACCAGGCTGGCCTTGAACTCACAGAGATCCACCCGTCTCTGCCTCCAGAGTGCTGGGATTAAATGTGTATGCCACTACTGGCCAGCCAGACTTAGAAGTCTTAACAGTCTAATGATCCTATTTTTCCCCCAAGAGATTCCAAAATGCAAATTGACACCTATAAACCCAGAATTGAGAAAGTTGAGGCAGGAAGATTGCAAGTCTCAGGACAGCCTGGGCTATAGAGCAAGATGCTCTTTCTGAGCTGGAGAGATGGCTCAGCAGTTTAAGAGTCACATTGCAGAGGCCCGGAGTTCTCCCAGCACCAGTACCAGCAGCTCACAATTGTTAAGATCCGTATCCAGAGGCTCTGCTGCCTCTTTTGTCCTCTTCAGGAACCTGCACTGTCAAGCATATACTCAGCAGAAAGATACACACATGTACATGATTTTTAAAATAAAGCCTTTAAAATGCTCTCTCAAAACAACCACCACACTTCCACACCAAAATTAAAAACAGGCCAGACGTGGTGGTACATACAGATAAGATGACACTTGGGAAGTGGAGACAGGAATGGGTTTGAGGCCATCCTTGGTTACATAGTTGGAGACTAGTTTGGGCTACATGGTGCCCTGTCTCAAAAATAAAGTAAAATAGAATGAATATTAACATTTAAGAAGCATGGAATAAGAACCTCCATTGGTAACTCTCTGTTCAATGCCCAACACAATATAAACTGGGCATTGTGACACAAACTGCTAATCCTGGCACTTGGAGGTGGGACCAGGCAGGTCAGGGATTCAAGATCATCCTCAGCTACATAGTCATGAAGACCAGCCTGGTCTACATGAGACCCCATCTCAAGAAAAGAAACTTACAATCATGGCATGGGGTTAAAGTGATGGGCCCTGGAGTCAGAGTGTTGTTGGGTTTAGGCTCAGTCACTTGCTTTGGGCATCTTTTAATCTTCCCCCCCTTTTTTTTGTTGGGGGCAGGGAGGGGGTTCAGACAGGGTTTCTCTGTGGCTTTGGAGCCTGTCCTGGAACTAGCTCTTACAGACCAGACTGGTCTCAAACTCACAGAGATCTACCTGCCTCTGCTTCCCGAGTGCTGGCATTGAAGGCGTGTGCCACCACCGCCCGGTGTCTTTTAACCTTTCTGAGCTTTATTTTATTTACTTTTTTATAAAATGGGGCCGATAAGGGAGAGTTGTGTTCTAGTCACAGTGTCAGACTCAAAGAAATTTCAGCTACAGCTTTTCTTTTAATAAACACCTTGTTGCCAGAGAGGATGGGAGAAGGTGTTAACCCCAGGGACTTGTGGGTAATGTCTGCTCACCTTCCTGTCTTTTCTAGACTAACACCAGCCATGCCCTGCACTCTTTGGATGTGCATCTTGAACCGGCTGTCCCTGGCTCCAAAAACCCTGACTTGGGAGTGCTCCACTTCAGCTGCGCATACCCCCTGGTGGTGAATGTCAGCCAGCCTGTCTCCTACCAGGAGGACTCCATTCCGTGAGTTATGTCCAGTCAGCTGTTTCTGCAGCTAGGCCCTAGGCCACCCGAGTTCTCGTTGCTACCTCAAATCTGGCCAAAGACTCAACACTCTCGAGAAATTGTTCCTCCTGCTTACCTACCATATGTAAGCAGCATGGAGGGAAAACAAGCCACTTCTGCGAAGAGATGAATTATGGGTTGCTTATGTAAATGGCCATGGGGTTAGATAGCGGCCAAGGAGGAAAGTTCACAGGTTTGCCCATCCCTTGGCCATCTTTTTTTTTCTTTTATATTTATTTATTGTGTGTGTGTGTCACATGTAAAAGTCTGTTCCCCATTTCCTCAGATCATCAGGCATGGTGTTGAGAACTTTTTACTCACTGAGCCGTCCTGATGACCTATCTTTTCCTCTTCTCTTTCTTAGTACATGTTTGTGCAGTGTGTGCTAGTCCATGTACATGTGTGCCATGTGTATCTAGGCCTCTGGTATTCCTTAATCACTTTACACCTTATTTATTTGTTTGTTTATTTGTTTATTTTGGTTTTTCGAGACCAAAACTGTGGGTGCTGGGGATCAAGCCTGGGTCCTCCGGGAGAGCAGCCAGTGCTCTTAATCTCAGAGCCATCTCTCCAGCCTCTATTTGTTTATTTAATTGCAATATTTTATAGGTTTATACCAACCATAAAGTAAGACTTTGCATGGAAATAGGGACAATATATTTGACCCTATTCTAACCTGTTTCCCAAGCCACCAGACTTGAGTGAGTCTGACATTAAAGAAGGCTCCTGGAAGCCGGGCAGTGGTGGCACACGCCTTTAATCCCAGCACTTGGGAGGCAGAGGCAGGTGGATCACTGTGAGTTCGAGACCAGCCTGGTCTACAAGAGCGAGTGCCAGGACAGCCTCCAAAGCCACAGGGAAACCCTGCCCCCCCACCCCCCAAAAAAGAAGGCTCCCGGACAGACCTGTCTTACTGCACAAGGTCCTCTGTACACATCTTGCTCCTTGTGAGAGCAACTCTCCCGGGGTGCAGAGAACAAGACCGTTTCCTGATTGTGATGGACACTGCTAAGTGTTCTCCAAGACCCAAGCTCTTCTCTCTGCCAGGAGTTAGAAACTTTATTCTGAGAAAGAACATAGGTGACCCCAAGCACTATTTTATCGTAAAGCCCTGTCCCATCACGGATGGTGACCACAAGGATGCTGCATCACAGCTTATTCTTTGAGGCAGGGTCTCCCGTTGGCCTCAAACTCACTAGGCAGGGCTAGCCTGGTAGACCAGTAAGCCCTATGGGTCTGCCTGTCTCTCTAGTAGTAAAATCACAAGCATGCCTTGTGCCAGGCTTTTTAACATGGCTATGGAGCTCGATCTCAAACCCTCATGCTGTATAGTAAAGTACTTTACCCACTACCTTTCCTCTGAGGTTCGAGGTGAGGGGCTCACTCTTGTTCCTTTCTGGATATAGCACCATCCACACCATCCACGTTCCCAGTACCGGAGAGACCATCATCACCCTGAGCATCTTCACAAACTCTGAACTCACCACTCCACTCAAGAACAGCACAGCTCCTGTGGGCATGACCCTCTACGTGGTCCTCAAGTCCACCAACAGTGATCCTGACCGATTTGTCCTGGTGGCTAATGAGGTCTTTGCCAGTAGCAACCCCTCCAACACAGTGGCTAAGGCCACCTATCATTTTGTGAAGGAGAGGTAAGGACCAATCAGGCCCCAGCTCCGGGACTGTGACTCTCGAAGGCACCTTTGTTCCCATGAACACAGACTCTCATTCTTTTCTGTGTCCATGGCAAACAAAGTGGGGGAAGAAGGGATTGGTGAGTGTTTGTTTAGTAAATGCATTCAGCCCTGTTTTATAGATGAGTAAACTGAGGCTCAGGGAGATTAAAACCTGTTCAAGATCTCACAGCCAACAGATGACATACATTTCTTCTATTGTTTCCTCCCAACAGTTATTGAGGGCCTATGATGAGATAAAAAATAACGTTGACATGTTAGAGTATCATATGCTATGTTGTATACTGATGTATATTGCATGTAATAGCTAACAGAAGCTAATAGTTTAGTTTTTTTTTTTTTTTAAAGATTTTATTTATTTATGTATACAGTCTTCTGCTCGCATGCCAGCAGAGGGCACCAGATCTCATTCAAGGTGGTTGTGAGCCACCATGTGGTTGCCGGGAATTGAACTCAGGACCTCTGGAAGAACAGTCAATGTTCTTAACCGCTGAGTCATCTCTCCAGCCCTAATAGTTTAGTTATTTATAAATAATTTTATTTCATGCCAGATATAGAGTCACATCACATTTATCAGTTAATATATATCTTACAGCACAATATGACAGTTATATTTTGATTCCCATCTTACACAAGGAGAAACTAAGGCTCAGTTCAAGTGCATAAGAGGTAACTGTGTTAAGTATTGAGCACGCTAGGATAAGAGCTGGGTCTCTTATTCAGGTGTGGTAGCCTGTGACCCAAATCTAAGCACTTGGGAGGCTGAGGCAGGGGAATTACTTAGAGTATCAGGCTAACCAAGCAAGACTCTATTTTTTTGTTTTTTGTTTTTGAGACAGGGTTTCTCTGTATAGCCCTGGCTGTCCTGGAAGTCACTCTGTATGTAGACCAGGCTGGCCTCGAACTCACAAAAATCCACCTGTCTCTGCCTCTTGAGTGCTGGGATTAAAGGTGTGCACCATCACCACCTCAAAAGACCCTATTTTAAAAAATAATTCTAAAATAAAAATAAAAACTGGATATGGTGGTGCAAGTCTGTAACCTAAGCTCTCAGGAAGAAGAGAGAGGGATTGAGACTGACTAAGCTACATAGAAGATTCCAGGTCACCCTGGGCAGAGAAGAGAGAGAGAGAGAGAGAGAGAGAGAGAGAGAGAGAGAGACAGACTATATTCTTATGTGTATATCACATTTCATTAATATTGATAATAGTTTTGTAGAAGCACAGTGGATCACTCATCAGTTTACAGTTGGCAAAACAATCCCACGAAGGATAATTTCCTCCACTGCACAGATGAGAGAGCCAAGGCCTCCGAGTCTGACCAAGGACTGCTTATGCTCAGTTCTATTCCAAAACACACTGCCGAATTCGTCCTATTGTGTAATTGTCTTTTCCTCTCTTCATGAGGTTCTGGGGTTCCCACCTAGGGCCAGCATCCTGCTAGACTAACACTCTGGCCCAACTTGAGGACCTACCTAACTTCTCCGAGCCTAAGTTTCCTCCTGGTTTTAAAAAAAAGGGCAGGGAAGTGTAGGGCTGGAGAGATGGCTCAGCAGTTTAAAGCACTGGCTGCTCTTGCAGAGGCCCTGGGTTGGGTTCCCAGAACCCACATGCGTTACAACCATCTGTAACTCCAGTTCCAGGTGATGGAACAGCACCCTTCTCTGACCTCTGTGACCTCTGTACTCCTGTGGGGCACAGACACTGACAGGCAGAAAATAATAAACCTTTAAAAATGCGGAGATGTCAAAAGTGTGGTCCCCCAGCAGAATGTAGATGTAGGGGGAAATTAGATAGTTCATGTAATTCTCAGCACGAGATCGAACACCCACAGTCACACAGAGCAAGTCAGGGTTGACACCTCGGCCCCAAGCCTGGGTTCCAATGCGACGCCTTCTTCACACAGCTGCCCAGTCCAGGGCCGGCTGCTCCAGGACTTGAGCAACGGGGCCTCCATACATGTAATTCTGGCCTTCACTCTGTCACGATTCTTGAACAGTGACATGCTCTACCTACACGCCCAAGTGACCCTCTGTGACAAGCAAGCATCCCGCCTATGCCAACCAGTGAGTGGGGCTCCTGAAGCCCAGTTATGCAGCTGGGACTGGACCAAGGGTGGTTGTGTGGTTGTGTTCTGGCCTCATGCTCCAGGGACTGGGTTGGGGGTAGATTTAAAGGCAGGCATTGGAAGCCCTAGCTAAATCTTGTAGGTGGAAGTGAGAGAACTTATTTGGGTTGTGGGTTATGGAACAAGAGTTGCTGAGGTCTTAGGGAAAGTCCCCACACTGTCTTGTCACCCACAGTCTTGTAGTGGGAAGGATCCCCTGCGGAGAAATTCACCCTGGAACTCTCGAGCTGGGACCCGTCTGGAACCTGGCAGTAGCCCCAGCTCATCTGCCAAGACCCTCCCAATGTCTTGTTCTGAGACCCTGGGCTTTCACTGAGTCCCCTCTCACCACCATGTCTTTACACTGTTCCCCGAAACCCAGTCTCCTCCCTGAGCCCATGTTCTTCTCTGCTCCAGACCAGTCCTTGCAACCACCTCGGCCTTTTTACCTCACTTTAGTTTCTTTGCCTATTACTGTGAAAAAAAAAATACACACATGGAAGCAACTTAAGGTTTACTGTGGCTCAAAGCTGGGCAGTGGTGGCACATGCCTTTAGTGCCAGCACTCGGGAGGCAGAGGTAGGTGGATCTCTGTGAGTTCCAGGCCAGCCTGGTCTACAGAGCGAGTGCCAGGACAGGCTTCGAAGCCACAGGGAAACCCTGATGGTTCAAGGGTGTGGTCCATTATGATTATTTGAGGGAATCATGGCGGCAGGAGCTTGCTGGCTTTGGCCACATCTGCAGCCAGGAAGCAGAGAAACATGAACACAAGCTCACTTTCGAGTCTTTGACAGTTCCAGGGTCCCCTGCCCAGAGAATTTCTGACTTCACTACAATTAAGATGGGTCTTCCCATATCAACTAGTGTAATCAAGAGACTCCCACACAGGCATACCCAGAGATCCACCTTCCAGGCGACTCTAGACTCTGCCAGGTTGACAACACTGACCAGTCACAATACTCCTTCAAGTCTGAACCATCTTTACCTCTGGCATCTCTCTAAAAAAATTGAAAATTTGGTTTTATGAAAATCTGGTGTATGAATGTTTTGTCTGCATGTATGTCAGACAACACATATGTGCCTGGTGTTCACTTGAGGCCAGAAAAGGCATTTGATTCCCTGGAATTGTAGTAACAGATAGGTGTGAGCCACTATGTGGACACTGGGAATCTAACCTGTGTCCTCTGAGAGATTATTCAGTGCTCTTAACAGCTGAGTCATTGCTCCAGCCCCCTCAGGCACTCTATGTCCTTTCCTGTCACAGCAACTCACTCTTCTCAGACTTTCATGTCAACCTCTATTTGGTCATTATTCCCATGCTTTTGGTGAATCCTGAAGGATCCTCTCACTCTTTTGAGTCCCAGCTTCCAAAATCAGCCACCCTCCTTTGTCCAGTCCCGATGGAATAGTGAGGGGCACTTGGAATTCAATCTCTGTTTTTATGTGGTTGCAGCGCCCAGAGCCTCCAGCAGCAGGAGCCGAGCAGGTGAGTACAAGGGGATTGCTGTAGTGAAGTAAGTTCTCATGTTACACACAGGCTAGTGCTGATTTGGGGTACCGTTTCTTCTCAGAGCTATGTGACCAAGAAGTCAATTAAGCTCTCCAAGTCTCCGCTGGAGCAGTACATGGCAGGGTGAATGTGGGGCTGTTGCCTTGTCCAGCCTCAAAAATCTGAAACTGCCCAGAAATGACTCAGAGTAAGGGTTGAAGGTTTGAAATGCACAGGCACAGTGGAGCATGCCTGAGCCCAGAAGTTTAGACCCAGCCTGTGCAAGATAGCGAGACCCTACTCAACAGAAAAGCCAGGTGTGGTGGCTTACCCTGTAATCCCAGCACTTAGGAGGTGCAAGCAGGAGAATTAGGTGTTTAAAGCCATCCTTGGCTACAGAGAAAGTTTGAGGCCAGCCTGGACTGAGTGTCTCAAAGAAAAAGAAAAGAAGAAAGAAAAAAATATTGGTGTACTCAGTAACACTCCAAATCGAGGTTTCTCAGCAGTAGAAGTGCTTGCTAAGCTTGATGGCGTGAGTTTTATCCCTGGGAACCATATGTGGAAGGAGAGAACCCGAGAAAGCTGTTCTCTGTCCTTCACAAGTACACTATGACATGCACACACAAAATGTAAATTTAAGAAGAGATCTTAAAGGGTCTCATAGACTCTGAAAGCTCCTCAAATCCCATTTTAAATATTTTTATTTTATTTTAAATTATGCATATACGTGTGTGTGTGTACGATGCGCACATGAGTGCTGGCACCCACGGAGGTCAGAAGTTAGACTATTGCGAGCTGTCCGCTGTGGGTGATAGGAACCCAGCTGAGGTCCTCTGCAGGAGCTGTGTGCTCTAAACTGCTGAGCCGTCTCTCCAGCCCCCCCCCCCCTCAGTCCTACTTTGTAATCATTCCTTTCTTTCCTGCAGAAGCCTGGATGTTCATCTTGCTCCTGATGGCGGTAGGCTGGCTGCTGGACTAGAACCTGGCCAGCCTCCCCATTCCAATAGAACTTAATGTCTAGTTTACCTGCCTGAGTTGAGGGTGGAGCGGAGGAAGATTTGAGGAGAGGCAAGCAGTGTGACCTCTGTTAGGTACCAGAGAAGCTGGGCATGGACCTGTGTAGCCCAACATTGGGAAGAATGTGGCCACTGCACAGTGGCTTGTGCTCTCTCTCATCGGGCCGTTGTTTCCCATGTCTGCAACTCTTAGGGGAGGGTGTGTGATTAGACCACTCAATATGATAGAGGTGATTAGAGAGTTTATGGCCAATAAACACAAAGAATTCTACTTTTTCTGACGTCTGTCTGTGTAATTTGACCACAATGCTTTGGTGCTCCAGGTCAATGGGCTGAAGGATTGGAAGGGCGTTGGGGGGTCTGACAGTCACTTTATTCCTTTGGGGCTTCATTTCCACACATGTAAAATGAAAGTGTTTGACCAGATGACCTCTGCTTCAGTATGGGAATGAAGCCTACGAAATCCTTGGGTCTCAGTCAGTTGACCCTACTTTCTCATTCTTTTTTATCTGCAAAATAGTCAGAACTGTTCCGTTCCAGGATGAGAGTTGAATGCATTTATATAATAGAGTCCAAGCCTTTTCCTCCTATCCCTTGGTTAGTCAAGGCCTCATTAGCCCAACTTTCCTGGTGGAGGGTGATGTAGCAACAGTGTTTGGGCTGTCGTCATTAATTCATCTCAAACCAGACTCTATTCCATACCTAGGGCCATGTTATACCCTGGGGATTCAGCAGTCTTAGACAGACTTAAGGACAGGGTGAATGAGTATTGGAAGGAGACTGTGGACCAGGAAACAGGACAGACTAGCTGTTAACAGACAACCGAGCTATGCAAGGCGCAGTGCACCTGGAATCCTAGCCACCTGGAGATTGAGCCTGGAGGATTTTTCTGAGTTTGAGACCAGCCTGGGTTATATATCAAGACCCTGCCCCAAACAAACAAACAAACAAGTAAACAAAACACCACAAAATGAGTAAAAAGTGTTGCTCAGTGATAGAGCACTTCCATAGCACACACATGGTCTTGAGTTTGATCCCCCAAACAGCAATAAACTCATATGAGCCCCAAACATACATACTCCAAAGGGAAAAGAAATCAGAAAATGGGAGTTAGGTACAGTGGTGCATGTCTGTAATCTCAGCACTTGAGAGGTGGAGCTGGAACAGGAAGATAGAGAGTTCAAGGTCATCCTTAGCTACACAGTGGGTTTTCTAGCGTCACGAAACCTTGTCTCAAACAGAAAACTCAACAAGTACTGAAATCCAGGCCTTGGGGGTGTAAATTTTGATCCCGGTACTTGGTAGGTAGAGGCAGGAGGATCTCTGAATTTGAGCTCAGCCTGATCTAGTTCCAGGACAGCCAGGGGTACACAGAAAAACCCTGTCTCAAAAACAAAAATCAAGTTCAATTCAGTATTCTTTTTCCTATTTATTCAGAGAATAAGCGCATGCGTGTACAGTGTGCGCTCATGGGCATGTTTGCCACAGGAGCACATGGAGGTCAGAGGATAAATACATGGAGTCCTTGTCTTCCACCTTTATGCGGGTCCCAGGGGTCAAATCAACTGTCAGGCTTGCATAGCAAGTGCTTTACCCATTGAGCCATCTTGTCATTCCTTTTAAGTCTTTTTGAAAGGGGTTTCATTATATGGGTCGGTCTGGTCTTGAACTTGCTATACTGCTGTCTCAACCTTGAGTGCCAAGATTGCAGGCCTGCACCACCAAATTTGACTCTTCCCATTCTCTTTGGTTAAATGAGAAAGTTATATTTAACCAAATCTAACATTTAAAAAAATATGTGTAGGAGTGTTTTTTGTTTGTTTGTTTGTTTTCAGATAAGGCCTTCTGGTGTAGGTCTGGGTGTCCTGGAATTTACTATAATAGACAAAGTTGGCCTCAACCAGAGATCCACCCACCTGCCTGTCTCCACCATGCCCAGCTATGCATGAGTGTTTTGCCTGCGTGTGTGTAAACCCTCTGCTTGTGTGCTGGGTGCCTATTGTTTGATGTTGGGTCATAGGTGCCGCAGTAGAGAGAGCAGCTCACCAACAGGCTAAGTCTTCTTCTAAAGAAGCAAGGGGTACAGTGTAGCAGACTTTCTCTGGGCCAACCAGCTCCCAAATAAAGACGTGGAGGTTTATTATTAGTTATAAATGCTCGGCCTTATGCTTGTCCCACTAGCTTCTATAATTTAATTTGTTTCCCTTCACCTGTATTTTGCCTTGAGGCTTTGTAACTTCTTTCATCCTGTATGTCCCACTTTCACTGCTCCCTCTGTGTCTGTCTGTCTGGCAGCTGCCTAGCTGGCCGGCCCCAAGCGCCTCCCTCCTTTTCTCCCTCATTCTCTCCTCCCTCTGGTTCTCTCTGTCCTCCTCCTCCTTATGCTCTCTGCCTACCAGGTCCTCCTCTCCCTCTCCTGCCTAGATAGTGACCATTCAGCTTCTCACTCAACCAATCAGGTGCAGGCAAAGCAACACATCTCTACATCGTTAAACAAATGCAGCACACCTGTGCATAGTTAAAGTACTATTCTCCAAGTACAGCCTTCTTGGAACTCCAGTTACTTTATTCAAACACATACAAGGTTAATTGGAGCTGGGAAAGGTTCCAGCTACCAAAGTCATACCATAGGTTCAAACTACCAAGCCATAATCATAAGTAAGAATGCTGGATCTGCCAGGATTGTCTTAGGAACAAGGTCCATGCAGCTGCAAGCTCTCAGTACCACCAAGTGCAGACTCCCCAGAGAAATAGCTCTCCAAGGTTTAAACAGTCTCAAAACAATTTCTCAGCCTCTACTGATCAACTCAAACATAGCAAAGGCTTTGCTGA